CTATTTGGTGTTCTGTAGGCTTCTTTTATTTTCATTGGTATGTCTTTCTTTAGGTTGGGAAAGTTTTCTTCTATGATTTTGTTGAATATGTTTTCTGTGCCTTTGAGTTGGATTTCTTCACCTTCTTCTATACCTATTATTCTTAGGTTTGGTCTTTTCACGGTATATGGGATTTCCTGGATATTTTGTGATAGGGATTTGTTGGACTTAAGATTTTCTTTGGTTGATGAATCTATTTCCGCTAGTGTGTCTTCAACTCCTGAGATTCTCTCTTCCATCTCTTGTATTCTGTTGGTTATGCTTACATCTGTAGTTCCTGATCGTTTACCCAGCTTTTCTATTTCCAGCATTCCCTCAGATTGTGCTTTCATTATTGTCTCTATTTCAGTTTTTAGGTCTTGAACTGATTCCTTGAGAGATTTGTTGATATCTTATATTTTTTTGGTTTGTTTTGTCTTCAATTTCTTTAAGGGATTTTCTCATGTTCTCTTTGAGGACCTCTATCATTTTCCTGAAGATATTTTTAAGGTCATTCTCTTCTGGTTCTTCTACATCGTGATGTTGAGGTCTTACTGGTGTATGGTTCCTAATCTCCAGTGGTGTCATATTGGGTTTTCTGTTGTTGGATATGCTTTTACCTTGTCCTCTTCTCATCTTTTCTTCTCGTGGTTGTAGCAAGTGTTTCTTGTTCTCCTGGTGGGAGTGGGACCCTTGTGGTAGATGCAAAAAGATCCAATACTCTGATGTCGGTCCTCTTCTCATGAATGGAGGTGTCACTGTTCCCCGGTGTCGGCAGTGTTTGGGCGTGCTGGGTCCCTCCCGGTGGGCAGTTGGAGGCAGAGCTGTCACCAGGCCTCGGGGTGTCGGGTTCTGCTGCCGAACTCCTTCTGGCAGGCAGGTCGCTTGCGTCAGGTGACTCTGAGCAGGAGCCGGAAACAGCCCCTGGCCTACCTGGGCTGGTGGATGGAGGCCAGGCTGCCTCTGGGTGTTCGGTGTTCGGAACCTGCCGCCGCCGAACTGGGTCCAGCATGCAGGTTGCTTGCCTCAGATGACTCTGAGCATCGATGACAAAACCTCATTATTAGTTTTGAATGCTGGGCCTTAGCTTAGCTCTTTTCTGGCTAGCTCTTTTAACTTAAATTAACTTGTTTTTCTTCATCTCTTTTTGCCTCAGGGATTTTTACTTTTTTCTGTATATCTTACTTTCACTGCTTCTCATGTCTGTCTGTCTGGTGGCAACTGCCTGTTTTCTTGCCCTGGGTGTGTCCTTCATTTTCTCCTCTTCCTCTTCCTCCTCCTTCTCCTACCCATCCTAGATTTCTCCTCTTATTTATTTTCTCTGCCTGCCGGTCCCACTTACATTTTCTCTGCCTAGCTATTGGCCATTCAGCTGTTTATTAGATTTAGGCAGGCAAAGTAAAACAAACACAGGACATCTTTACATATTTAAACACTCATCCTTTCATCATTAAAGAAATACAGCACAGACAAATGTAATATATTGTTACATGGTTAAAGTAAGATTCTGCAGCAAAACAAATGTAACACATCTTTACATATTTAAAACAACATTTTACAATAGGTGACCACCAAACAGAGGTAACCTGTACTTGCATTAATGCTCTGATATCACTGTGTCAATGATTTTATCATTGACTTTTTTGTTTTGTAGGGAAATTTGATGGGGCCATGGAGCACAAGAATAAGCAGAATAAATAAATGAAGTATATGTGTTCTCTTCCATTCTTTGTAACAGTTTGTACATGGTGTTCAGAATAGAAGTTCAGAAAGATTCATTGGGAGTATGGAACAGGAGATTACTTTGAACCAGAAAAGGGCAATGGCACTCATAGACAACAAACAACTAGAGACTCTATGATTTCCTTTCTTATTTACGCTACCTTCTTGTATTAACCAGCCATCCATCCCAAAACTAATGATGTAGAAGGAAAGAAAATGTTGAGATAGTTTCTTGGTTCATTGCTATCTAGTAAATTTTAACAATTTCAATTTATTAGCAGAACTTTACTGTTCAAATTCATTGTAAAGTGTCCCTTTCAAATGCAAATACAAGTCCAATGAACTAATATGTAAAACTACAGAACTATACAAATTATGTTTTATAGTTTGTACCTACACATCTTTCTTTTCATAACAGTGGAAAGGATGAATAAAGATAATTCAAGTTTTTCAGGACTATTTTACACTTCTTGACATGGTGTATTGCATCAACATTTTCTACCTTGTGTATGCGTGTGGATGTTTATGTTTGTGCAAGTGCACATGTGTATTCCTGTGCATAGGTCATAGGGTAACCTTGAGTGTTGTTCCTTAGGGACCATTCATCTTAGTTTCTTTGAGACAGCTTGTGCTGCTAGCCTGAAACTAGCCATATAGGCTAGGCTGGCTGGCCAGTACGCTCCAAGGATTCTCCTATCCCTACTTCCTAACCACAGGTTACAAGCACATGCCTCTATGCCCAACTTTTTGTTTTTAATGCAAATTCTGGGGTCAAATTAATATGCTTATGCTTTTAAGGCAAGCACTGTACAAACTGAGTTATCTCTGCTGCCCAATATTCTTGAACTTTTAGGTGAAAGGTTATTTCTTTACAGTACATTGATATTCCACTGTAATCTGGCTTCCATTGTTGCCAATGATGTATCAGTCAGTTTTATCTTTTTTTTCAAAAGTTATTCCTTTCTTCCCCGTCTTCTCTTGTCTTTCTTCCTTTCTAAATACCAACTTCTCATGTCCCATCTCTCTATAGGCTCTTGTCACAGACTGAAGCTCCACTTGTGATTTTCCTTTCCTCTCTCATAAATTATATCATACCTTGATTCAGAATATTTGTTTACTGTGTGAAGCTGTGTCTATGTTTTGCCTCACCTGCCTAAGGCCACTGATTGGTTTAATAAAGAGCCAAATAGCCAATAGCTAGGCAGAAAAGGATAGGCAGGATTTCCAGATAGAGAGGGGGAGGGAGCGAGGGAGAGGGAGAGGGAGAGGGAGAGAGAGAGGGAGAGGAAGAGGAGAGGAACCTGGGCATGCAGGGGACACCAGAGAAACATAGAGCAAATCAGACATACAAAATGAAATTGAGGTAAAAAAAGTGCTGATATCCCCTTTGTTGAGCTGTTTCTTTTATGACTGGATCAATTTCGTGTAGTCAGTGTGGCCTTGAACTAACAGAGATTTGTCTACCTCTTAATCTTGAGTTCTGGGAGTAAAGGTGTGTACCACCACCACCGTGCTCTAGGGCTTCTGGGATTAAAGATGTGTATCACCACTGCCTGATTTCTGTCACTTGAGGCTGGCTTTGCTTTCTGAATCCTCAGGCAAGCTTTAATTAATCCTCATTAATAATGTAATGCCACATAAACCCTTTCCTTTTTATTTAGACAAAAGGGGGAAATGTTGCAGAATATTTGTGCACACTGCAAAGATGTGTCTTTGCCTAAGTCACCATCTGATTGGTTTGTAAAGTGATGAATGGCCAATAGCTAGGCAAGAGAGAATAGGCAGGATTTCTTGGGAGAGAGAGGAAGAGGAGGAATTTAGATCCTCAGATTCACCAGAAAATGTGAAGAATTTAGACATATGGTACAGAACAGAGGTAACTGAGTCATGTGGCAGAATGTAAATTAATAGAGACTGGTTAATTTAAGTTAGAAGAGCTAGTTGGAAAAAAGCCTTAGCTATGGCCAAGCTTTCATAATTAATATTAAGTCTCCCTGGTGTTGTGATTGGGGATCTGGCTGTCCCACAAAACATAATCTGATAAGAAAGCTTCCTACAAACAACCCTAAGATAAGGTCAAGCTTTCATATTAATAAGAAGTCTATTGGGGAGCTGGCAGTCTGACAAAAAGGACCAATTACACTTTCTTATTCTGGATTCAATTTAATCTGGTGTTACAACACACAAATTGGGTTTTCTAGTATCCTCTATACTAATGAATGCCTTTATTTGTTTTTACATATAATATTTTAATAATTTATTGAGAATTACACACATGTATTTTGATCATATTCATTCCACATTCTCCCATCTCCTCTCAAGTCTGCCCTTACCCTCTTATACCTTACAACTTCATTACTTCTTTATTTTTAAAGTATCAATCATTGTTCACATTTTTATTTCTAGTATAAAAACAATTTTCAAAGGCATTTATTTGTATGCATCAATGTTTTATTTAACTGATGTCTGAAGACAAAACAGATAGTTTCAAGAACGTTTGAGAAATAGTGCTGCATCACCAATGGAAAAAGACTGTCAAAATCAGATTATTTTTAGATATAAGTGGTTAGAATCTTATAGGCAATAAAACCATATCATCTGTAGTTTTGTCATTTGTGGATAATAACAGTTGTGACAGTGGTATCATAATTCTCAAAGAGGTCACAGAACGGTCAAGTAGGAATACTAGAAAATGCACTAGGATGAAACAACAGCCACATGCATTCTTTTGCTTTTTCTGAGACTGAGATACATTTTTTCTCTCCTATTTTCAAATCATCCTGGGCTGCAAAGTTTGAATGTATACTCTGGTGGACTATCATTTGCTACCATGGTGTGTTTCTGTAGTATATATGTAGAAGTATAGATGTAGTATAGATTTGTTTTCATGTAGTCCCATCTGTTGATATTTGGGGTTAGTTCCTGTGCTGTTGGTGTTTGATTAAAAAAGTTCTTGCCTGCCCTGATATCTTGAAGGGAACCCCTGTATTTTCTTCTAAAAGTTTCAGTGTTTCAGGTTTTAAATTAAGGTTTAAATGAAGGTAAAGTGTGCAGGAACATGGATAGACTTAGAATGTATATTATTAAGCTAGGTCATACAATCCAGAAAGGAAAACCCCTACATATTCTCTCTCATATGCAGAATCTAGCCAATAGCATATGTATATATGTAAACAAATGTACATCTGGGTACTATATAACATTAAGAAAAGAGATCAAGAAAGGGTAAATATAAGGGAATTAGGAATGACTGCAAGTAATGGACATGAGTTATTTAAGAAGGGCATAAGCTGATTGTTTTTCTAGTTTTGATTCTGACACAGAGTTTTTTTTGTTTGTTTTGGTAGTGCATAAAGTATATTTGATACTGAAAGTATAAAATTTAGTGTGATGCTTTACAACTTCCATTATGAATCTCTTGAGACTTAAGTTTTCATAAAATGTAGAATTAATAATTTGGAGTCTTTCAGAGTAGAGTCATATATGATTGTACGGTTTTAAAAATGATGGGGGCATGAGCAGTGGGGGGCAATACGCATGTGGAAACTTTAGAGAGATGCTGGTCTTGAATTGGTGAGGGGATATCCTTGTGGTTTGAAAAGAAAGGCCCCCGTAGTCTCATATATTCAAATTATTAGTCATTAGGGAGTAGAGTTACAGGGAAGGATTAGGAGGTATGGTCATGTTGTAATAGGTGTGGCCATGTTGGAGGAAGTGTCACTGGGGATGGACTTCGAGGTTTAATAAGCCCATGCCAGCCCCATTCTCTCTCTTCCTCCAGTCTGTGGATCCAGCTGTAGAACGCTTATCTATTTACTTCTCCAGCACCATGTCTGCCTACATGCTACCATGCTCCCCACCATGACAATAATGGAGTAAACCTCTGAAATTACAAGCAAGCCACAATTAAATGCTTCCTTTGATAGGAGTTGCCATGGTCATGATGAATCTTCACAGAAATAACACACTGACTAAGACAATCCTGGAGCTGAAGAAGGAGGCAAAGGGTAACAAGCAGAGGATGCAGAAACCACCTCAGTACAGCGGCTGTGCTTCACATCCCAGGATCTCAAGCCTAAGGGCAATTTGGTGCTCCCAGATCTGGGGGTGAATTCGAAGATATCTAGTGAGTAATGGTGGGTCTAGAGAATTTACCATAGGTGTGGATGAGTCCTGATTGCCCCGAAAAACCTGAAAGAGAATAGATACTATTTATTAACTGACTGACAAAACAAAAGTACCATTTATACCACCACATTCTTGCTAGAAGCCTCAAGTTCAGTTTCTCATTGCTCTGTCACTCATCCATATCTCCTCTCCCTCATGGCCCTTTCCCCTCTTTTCATCTGTCATAATGCTTATCACAACATGTGAGTGACTTACTTTAATTTGCTTTTAGCATTTTAAGATTGAACTCTGGGAGATTAAATGAATCCATGGACCAAAAAGTTGTTTTGACTTGTAGAATTGAGATCAAGCCACTTATCTGCTATGTAGGACTGCTCTAGCTAAGCCTTACATCTGAAATATTCTAACCCATGTCCAAAAATCTCAATAAAACAAAATGCTTTGCCTGAGGTCATAAACAATATTCCTGTGCCAGGTAATCTGGAGGTGGGAGTCAGGACTCAACTAGTTGACTCCACAGTCACTGCTGTAAGGTGAGTTATAGCACAAAAATTAAAAGACCCAGAAACTGATACTGGGGTTAAAGCTTCAAGCTGAAGATCAGAAAAGCAAAGCAGCCAAGCCAGTAGCTCTTCCGTCTACCCAGCTGAAATGGCAATCATGTCTCCACAAATCCTCAGAGGCAAAAGGCTCTGAATTCCTGTCTCCTCCTTATATTCATTTTTCTTCCCAGCCATATCACTCCTGTCTCTACCTCTCTAGTGGTGGGATTAAAGACATGTGATCTCAGGTGCTGAGATCACGTTTGTATGAGCTGTTTCTTTCAAGACGGGATCAATTTTGTGTATTCAGTGTGGCCTTGAACTAATACAGATCAGCCTACCTCTTAATCCTGAGTCCTGGGATTAAAGGTGTGTATCACCACTGCCTAGCTTCTGTAGATAACTAGTATGGCTGCTTTACTATTTTGATCTCTAGTGGCTTTAATAAATCATAAGCAATATAATACCACAATGAGTATATAGTAAATGGTAGGTAGTGTTATTAGTCACATATGCTGTTTTCACACATTTTAGCAGCAACACAACAAAGTGTGTAACTTTACAAGACAGGGTGAGGAAGAGAGAAATTTGGGAATAAAGTCCAAGATTCAAGGTGTCTTGCCACATTGAGATACTGGAGGTAAATCCACTTGTAAGCCAGTCATATTTGAGGACATAAAAGTATGTTGTAGAATATTATTTTAAGTTGTGTTATTTTTGTGTATGTTGCATTTAACTCTGTGAAGCTGTGATGCTTTGCCTGTCTAAAACACCCGATGGTCTAATATAGAGCTGAACATCCAATAAGTGAGGCAGGAGCAAGGGTAGTCTAGGTTGGCAGTCAGAGAGTATAAATAGAAGGAGAAATGAGGAAGGGAGGGAGTAGCAAGAGAACAAGGAGAGGAGGACATCAGGGGCCAGTCACCCAGCCAGCCACAGAGAAAAAGTGAAAGTAAGATATACAGAAATAAGAAAGAAAAAGTCAAATAAGTAAAAACATCTCACAACAAAATGGTGCACCAATGTGGGACTAGGATATCCACCTAGAACCTGAGAAAGCTGGAAAGAAGACACTGCTCCTTTAAGAGGCAATGCTGTTTAGCTGGTAGTGCTAAAGAGAAGCTAGAAATGGCAAGTTAAGTAAAAGCCACTTGTGGCAATTCAGGTACTGGCTTCATAGCTAGAAAGGTTTAGGACAGTTCTCAGCCATGAACCTCCAACCACACTGTGAGCTCTAGGCTTGGCTTTTCCTGACCCAAGAAGTAGGTGGAGCCAGCTGATAGAGTTGTACTTGGAGGAGCCACATGTAGCTTAACTTGTTTGCTCGTGCAGTTTGCAAAGACTAGAAGAGATACTCAGTAAAAGAGATCCAGATGGAAAATCCTCTAAATAGGTTCCAGGGTGTTTTACAATGTATATAGGCTTAAAAAAAAGAAAAATGGTATTGACATTTATAGAAAGAAAGAATTGTGAAAATTAAGTCTGTAAAGAGACAGTAAAAGTAATATCAAAGAAAAAAGCCACATAAAATGGGAAATATACAGGGAGTCTGAATCCTGTATAATATTGTGATGATTTTGAATTTTTTGATTGCCGAAAAACAACAGACAGTTACGAAGAGACCTAGAATTGAAAGAGTGACTGTGGAAATAAACCAGCCTAGTTATTTTAAGAATGCCTTAACTCTAAAAAAGTAAAAAATGTATTTGTCAAATGGAACTAAAAAAATGGTTTGGAAAGCAGTTTTGCTTTTGTTTCCACAGGAAACAAGAGGCTATGGATTTAACCCAGGTTGATTTGGATCTGGTCTGATCAAGGGAGACTCCTGAAACTTGAAAGGTGACAATTATCAACAAAGGTAATAACTGTTCTTCCCAGGTTGGTCATTATTTCAAATTTCCCCTCTGGAACCCTAAAAACACTTCACCCCCATTCAGCAAGAAGAAGTCCAGAAAATATAATGTCACATTCCCAAGACAAAAGGAGTATGGAGGGGTCTTTGGTTATTTTGTTGGTCATGGATGTTTGTTATAATTTAGAAGGAGAGACTTCATCCTGTTGCTGTTCGAAGCAGAAACAGACACCCACAGCTAGGCACTGACCCACACTACTGGAATTCAGTTGTGGAAAGGGAGGAGGGTTGAGCAAAGGAGCCAAGACAGGGCTGGAGAGACCTGCAGAAACAGTGGACCTGACCTGGCAAATGGAGACCCTTGTCATAAAGCTGGGGAAACAGTATTGGACCAAACAAAGCCCTCTGAATGTGGGTGCCAGCTAGGAGGCTAAGACAGTCTATGGGACCTCTAACGGTGGATATATATATATATATATATATGTCTACTGTTGTTTAAAGGATTCTTGTATATTTATAAAAATTTAAGGTTATTTTTGTTGCAACAAGTTGTATGTATGTTTCTGCTCTTGTGTAAGGTATTGTACCTAGGCAGTTCATTTAAAAATTCAGGGTAAAATTCTAGTTTTGAAAGCTACTACTATGAACTATTTATGATAATCAAGAAACACAGGTCAGTAGTTAGTCATCAATAATAATCAAATTTGTAGATATGTTAGGTATGCTTCCATATCATATAGATGTATTTTAAATAGATGATCCTCAAAACTTTCAAAGATGTACAAAATATGGCATGTTTAAAATTTTTGTTGGCCGGGCGTTGGTGGCGCATGCCTTTAATTCCGGCACTCGGGAAGCAGAGGCAGGTGGATCTCTGTGAGTTTGAGACCAGCCTGGTCTACAAGAGCTAGTTCCAGGACAGCCTCCAAAGCCACAGAGAAATCCTGTCTCGAAAAAACAACAACAAAAAAAATGTTTTGTTATCCCCTTGATCTCCTTTATGACCCAACTGGGTCATAACTTCTGTTATTTCCTTTGTCTCTTTGTTAAGTTTCTGTCTGGTGGTTTTGTCCAGTGGTGAGAGTGGGGTGTTGAAGTCTCCCACTATAACTGTGTGAGGTCTTATTTGTGATTTGAGTTTTAATAATGTTTCTTTTACAAATGTTGGTGCCTTTGTATTGGGGCATAGATGTTTAGAATTGAGACTTCTTCCTGATGGATTTTTCCTGCGATGAATATGAAATGACCTTCTTCATCTCTTTTGATTGATTTTAGTTTGAAGTTTAACTTGTTAGATACTAGGATAGGTACCCCAGCTTGTTTCTTGGGTCCATTTGATTCAAATATCTTTTTTTTTTATTTTATTAGTTCAAATTAGGAACAAGTTGATTGAAATATCTTATCAAACCCTCTACTCTGAGATAATGTCTGTCTTTGAATTTGAGGTGTGTTTCTTGAATACAGCAGAAGGATGGATTCTGTTTTCGTATCCAAACTGTTAGCCTGTGTCTTTTTATAGGCGAGTTAAGACCATTAATATTGAGGGAAATTAAGGTCCATTGAGTGTTTATTCTTGTTTGTTTTTGATTTGTTGTTGGCAGTGGTATTGTGTGTGTGGATTTACCCTCCTTTTCTTGGCTTTTGGTAAAGTGGGATTATCTATTGCCTATGTTTTTGTGAGTGTAGTCAATTTTCTTAGGTTGGCGTTTTCCTTCCAGTACTTTCTGTATGGCTGGATTAGTGGTTACATATTGTTTAAATCTGGTTTTTTTTGTGGAATATCTTGTTTTCTCCATTTATAGTGATTGAAAGCTTTGCTGGGTATAGTAGTCTGGGCTGGCATCCATGTTCTGTCAGAGTTGGTAGAATATCTATCCAGGTCCTTCTGGCTTTCAGAGTTTCCATGGAGATAGGTTTGCATTTATATGTTACTTGGCCTTTTTCTTTTCTTGCTCTTAATATTCTTTCTTTATTCTGTACGTTTGGTGTTTTAATTATTATGTGACGAGGGGATTTTCTTTTGTGGTCCACTCTATTTGGCATTCTCCAGGCTTCTTGTACTTTCATTGGCATGTCTTTCTTTAGGTTGGGAAAGTTTTCTTCTATGATTTTGTTGAATATGTTTTCTGCGCCTTTGTATTGGATTTTTTTCACCTACTTCTATACCTATTATCCTTAGGTTTGGTCTTTTCACGGTGTCCCATATTTCTTGGATGTTTTTTGTTAAGGATTTGTTGGACTTAAGATTTTCTTTGCTTGATGAATTTATTTCCTCTAGTTTTATCTTCAGCAACTGAAATTCTGTCTTCCATTTCTTGTATTCTGTTGGTTATGTTTGCATCTGTGGTTCCTGATTGTTGACTCAGCTTTTCCACTTCCAGCATTCCCTCAGTTTGGATTTTCTTTATTGTCTCTGTTTCAGTTTTCAGGTCCTGAACTGTTTCCTTCAGCTGTTTAATTGTATTTTCTTGGCTTTCCTTGATTTTTTGCATCTTTTGGTTTGTTTTTTCTTCCACTTCTCTGAAGATTTTCTGATTTCCTCTCTTAGGGTCTCTATCATCTGCACGAAGTTGTTTTTAAGGTTGCTCTCAGCTGCTTCATCTGTGTTGGGATGTTCAGGTCTTGCTGGTGTAGAGTCCCTAGACTCTGGTGGAGTCATATTGGTTTTCCTGTTATTGGATGTGTTCTTATATTGTTGTCTTCCCATCTCTTCTTCCAGTGAGTGCAGGTAATGTCTCTTCCTTTCCTGGTGTGTATGGGTCCGGAATTGTCTTCATTTGGTTGCAATTGACTCCAATACTCTGATGAGTCTCAAGGTGGGCGCAGGCAGGTCTGAGGCACTTGCTCTCCAGGTGGGTGAGAGCAGGACTGGGGCAGAGATGTCAGTAGACTCTGGGTTGCTTGGTCCTCAGGAGCCAAGTCGACCTACCTGCAGACCCCTGGGCAGGAGTTCCCCGAGTGGGAAGGCAGAAGTTGGGCCCAAGTCAGAGGCCAAAACAGCTCACCCCTGCACTCTCTGCACTCTGCACTGCTCCAGGGCAGAGAAGCCCAGCAATCTCAGCATGTGTCTTCCACTTTCATGTGCAGCAAATTCTTAGTTGTATTTTGTTCTTTCTTTGGAATTTTACTTCCTTGCTTGCAGTTGCTGTGTTCTCTCAGAATGTCATTCACAGTGTTCTGTTAATGTATGGACTTAGTAAAGTTTGTTCTGAGAGGGTGGTCACAAATCATTCTAGTTCTATCTTTAAATGTCAAGATCTATGACAGGCATTATGCCTTTCATTAATTTTTTTACGGCAGGGTCTTACTCTGTAACTCAAGTTGGCCTTGAACCAAGTGACAATATTATAGGCTTGAGTCACCATATCCACTGTACCTTTCTTGTGAGAACATACCTTTACTTTGCCATTGTGTAAAATGTGAGTCCAGTGATGGCCATCTTGACTGCTGGAGATAAGGAACTCTTTCACAAACATGCTGGTAAAGAGAGATTTCACTCCCTGGGTTATTATTCCAGTGACTTTCATTGTCTTTTGTAAGTCCACTTGCAACCATTCTTTTGGATCATTCACCTGAGGAAGAGATATTGGAATAATATTTCCTTTGTCACTATTTGCTTCCAGAAATTTACAACTCTCTTTTTAACCACACTGCAGTTCTTACTACCATAGATAATGGTTTGCCTTCTTTCTTTATTTGACTAAGAATCCTGAGAGCCACATTTTTCAAAATTATTTGTTTTAATCTTCTTGGGTCACCCACTTAATAAGTTCCTAGAAAGTGCCAAATGAGTATCTACTAGAATATAAAGCCTGGCAATATAATAGACAAACTCTTTCATTCAAAATAATAATACTCTGGACTTTAAATTTTTTATTGCATTTACTTATTTGTTCTGGTGTGTGTAGTGTGTGTGTGTGTGTACACTCATGGGCCATGGAGCCTGTGGGGGGGGTGAGGACAAATTAAAGGAGTTGGTTCTCTCCTTCCCCTATGTGAACTCTAAGGACTGATCTCAGTTCATCAGGTTTGGTGGCAAGCACTTTGATCTGCTGAGCCATCTCACCAACTCTGTATTGGGCTTTAGCTACCATGATGAGTTCACAGATATTAGCCTAGTATTCTTCCAGGTAGTTAATTAATGATCACTTCTTTCTTCAGTGAATGCTGTGTAAAATCACATGGTATATCAACTAAATGCCTGTGGAGAATTGTTGACCTCCCTAAACATTCTTCTTAGGAACAGTGAAAAGAACCAACTATGAAAAACAAGGGCTTATCCTATTTTTCCCAGGCTCTATTATATATTTTTTATTAGTTAAGTGGTAAATATGTTGTTCTTACCTGAGGTCGCCAGGCATTAGTCCTTCCCTGGAGGTGAAGTCGAGCTTGTGAAGGATACCAACTGGCAAACATATTGGTGAAGTAGGATGAGGCAGTAATTTGTGTATCTGATATTACTTTATTCTCCATTCCCAATGGTATGCTACAACCTCAAAGAAACAAAATTGCAATGTTGTCACATGGGTAGGCTGCAGCCTAGGTTTCACTGACTGGACTGCCTTCAATCCTCTAGAGATATTGTCATCATGATAATTTTCAGGCATCAACTTTTACACAATTTCTGCCGTTGCTAAAATGCCTAGATTTTGTTGTCAGTTTTGCTTATCACTGCTTGATTTTAATTTCCTTGTTGATAGAAGTATAAGAGATGACTGCTTCTGATGAACCCTATAGTTAGTATAACTACAGTAACAAAGTCCTATTTTTTGTTTATTTCAGGATTGTGCTGGGGTTTTTGTTGTTGTTGCTGGTTTTTTATCAGTGACAGTTCTGTATTCTGTGATAGAAATCCTCCTCACAGTCTCAGGATAACTAAAACAGGTATTCTACTTTTGGTTGAGAAAGAAAAGAATATGGGACGACTTGGCACTTACTGTTTAAATCACAGCCCATCAACTCCATTCGAAGAGTACTGCGGATACTAGAATGAGTGGGATGTAAACGAATATACCGAGCAATAATTGGAGGATTAAAACTATTGTGCTTAATCCCAGATGAATCCACATTGCCAAAGAAGACCTATTATAAGAGATTATCAAAAATATGTGGAAAGTAAATACAAAGAATAAGGAAAAGTGGTTTTATTTACATTTTCCTTCTGGCATTTTTTTCAATATACTGAATAGATAGATGTATGCATGGTATACATGAAGTTTTTTTAAAGCACCAAGAGGAAGAGTAGAACAAGGTAGTTCAGTGTGGTCTAGGTGAAATGAAGTGGTTTTCTACCTTGGGTACTTCATAAAAGTTGAGGAAGCCATTAGCACTTTGTAACTCCAGCACAGCATCACAGAGCAATCAGAAAGGCGGAGTTTGAATAGTTACACCAGTAAGCTGGTGAAATAAGAGATATCTAGCTCTCATTTCACAGGAAAAACAATTTGCCAGGCATCTTGGGATGCACATAGGAGGCTGAGAAACACTATGGAATCACCAAACCAGGTATAGATGTTTGACATCAGCCTACTGCCTGTAATCTTGATTTTACACTCAGAAGTAGACTACATTTTGTGGACTGAGATACAACCCCACTCATGTGTAGTCCTAACACTAGCCCTATCCACCCAACTACTTTGGAAGGGCCATTTTCATCAGCACCCCTAGTAACATGTAGCTATTGTTTGGGTTAGTTTTTTTCTTAATTTTGTGTGTTGGTGCTGATGCTGAATGTGGTGGTATTGAAGTGTTGTGGTAGAGGATAAGAAGCTGGCCTGCTTAGTCTTAAATTATTCAGTTTGATAAAGCAACAGTTTTGTCCTGAGCTACTCCATTTTGAGAGTAAGAACCAAGTGATAATGATTCTATATCTTGTTTACACAAGTGATAACCACTATTTGACAGAACACTAGGAGGCATAAAATGACAATTTATTTACACCAGTAAATAATATATCCAAATATATTAAGACATACCAGAAACACCAGGCACATGAACTAAACAATACAACCACATAGAACCCCCTTACTTGGGACAGTGGAAGAAGGAGCACCTCAAGACCAATGTGTGGTAAGCACACTAACCAGTCACAAGGTCACTTGTCATGAGTCTTGTCCAGGAACTTTGCCACATCAAAAGACTCTGCCTCTGTTCCTGAGCTCAAGCTGTAGTGCAGTTTCCAGTTTCTCCTGATTGTGACACTTGGCCAACATCAAACTAACAGCTAAAATGTCTTGTCAACTGTAACTGCATCTGACATTTCTGCAACTGAAAACAGCTCTGTTCTGTGCTTCATAAGACTTCTTATTTGGTCCCCTACAGACTATCCCTTGCAGTTTGCATCAGCTCTCTTTCTATTACTTCAAGATGGTATCTCTGAAATCTACAGGCTCTTTAACCATTTTTAGTCATTCTGTAACCTTCATATTTGTTTATTATTGTGTGAAGTATTAATACATTTTTCTGAGAATTAGTAATTATAATTATATTAATAATCAAGAATTAATATTAGTAAAGATAGAAATAAAAGAACCCATTTTTTCCAATAGCCAATTATCAAGGTAAATTGGAACTACTTGCCAAACCATAGCTAATAAAATCAACATAATTTATGAATTTATTTTTCAATAAATTTAGACCTTGTAGAAAGATACAAAAAGTCCATCTAAATTTCATTTTTTGTTCTCATAAAATTTTTTTTCAATAAATTTTTTTTTATTTAGAAACAATCTTATTTTACATATCAATCCCCCATTCCCTTTCCCTCCCATCCTCTCATGCCCCCCACTGACCCCCCAACCCACCCCCCAACTCCCCAAGGATAGTGAGGCCTTCCATGAGGGATCATCAAAGTCTGTCACATCATTTGGGGGAGGGCCTAGGGCCTCCCCCATGTATCTAGGCTGAGACTATCCATTCAGAGGGCTTGGTTCTGTCCAATGCTGGTTCCCCAGCTTTACCACTTGTGTCTAAGATTTTTCTTTAGATTTTATTTAAATTAGAAACAAACTTATTTTTCATACCAATCCCATTTCCTTCTCCCTCCCATCCTCCCACCCCCATCACCCCCCCATCCCATCTCCCATCCACTCCTCAAGGATGATTGAGGCCTTCCATGAGGGATCATCAAAGTGTGTCACATCATTTGGTACAGGACCTAGACCCTCCCTACCCCCCGTGTATCTATCCATCTAAATTTGTAGCATAGCATCTTCATGATAGGTAGGCAAGGAATTAGAGAAGTGGGAGAACTGAACTTAATGCAAGTTTTTTTTTTTTTTTTTTTTTTTTTTTTTAGTTTTGCCTGCATGTATTTCTGTGTAAGGATATCAGATCCCCTGCGACTGGAGTTATAGAGTGTGTGGGTGCTGGGGATTGAAACCAGGTCCTCTGGAAGAGCAGCCACTGCTCTTAACCACTGAGCCATCTACCCCGAACCTGAGAAGACAGATTTTGTTTTGTTTTGTTTTTTTTGGTTTTGTTTTGAAACAAATTTTCTCTGTGTAATAGCCTTAGCTGTCCTGGAACTAGCTCTGTAGACCAGGCTGGCATTGAACTAACAGAGATCTTCCTAATTGAGCATCCTGAGTGCTGGGATTAAAGGCATGCACCACCACCACCACCACCACCACCATCAGGCAAAGACAGGTTCTTAATGAAGCAGTTAAAATTTTTTTAAGATTTTATTTATTTATTTATTATGTGTACAACATTCTGCTTCCATGTATATCTGCACACCAGAAGAGGGCACCAGATCTCATAACAGATGGTTGTGAGCCACCATGCGGTTGCTGGGAATTGAACTCAGGACCTCTGGAAGAACAGTCAGTCAGTGCTCTTAACCTCTGAACCATCTCTCCAGCCCCAGTTTAAAAATTTTTAATGCCAACTTTCTCAGCAGAATGCAATTTTCAGGCCTATTTAAATAAAACCCTTAATAAACAAAGACTTGATACTACTTCATTCTTTGTTATTTTCCTAAATGGCTTGCCTTGTCCTTCCTTGCAAGATATAATATCCTTTCCCTAAACTCTGGTTTCATTAAAAATTTCCTTAACATTTCTTCTGGTCTCTGGTTCTTCTTCTGGGAAGGTACTCTAGGAAATGTGTCCCCAACCTTTAAGGCCATACCACAAAGGATTGAAGTGACTCCAATTATCCATTAATAGCAGGCCCTTTGAGAGATAGAACCTAAGCCTGGCATGATGGCATGTAACTTTAATTCAAGTACTCAGGAGCCAGAGGTGAACTGATTTCTGAGTTTGAAGCTAGCCTGGTCTACTTCCACTTAGGGAATCTACGACAGCTGGAGATACACAGTGAGATGAGAGGAGAGAGGGGGCAATGGTGAGAGGAAGAGAAAGAACCTAGTAAGAGGACATGGGGGGGCATTGTCTTCAGATGGAATTGGGGTAGTTCTTGTTGAATTCTTGTTCTTATGCAAGATTAAGTTGTCATAAAAGAGAAAACCTCATCCTGAATCATTCTCTTATTCCCTATATTGCCAATATGATCTTTCTCATAGATACTTCTACTAATGTGATGCTATGTTCCATCTGGATCTCAGCAGAGATGAACAGAAGCTAATACCATGACACTGAACCTTTAGAAGTATGAGTTATACAAATATCTTGAATTTATAAAGTTCTGAGATATTGTAGTTTGAATGCAGATGGCCTTCAGAAGCGTTCATGTTTGGAACATTTGGTCTCAAGCTGGTGGCACAGTTTTGGAAAATTTTGGTAACTTTGGGAAGTAAAATCTTGATCCAGGAAGTAAGTCACTGGGGTTTTGGCCTTGAGGTTTACAGCCTGTCCCTACTTCTTTTCTGCTCCCTCCTTCCCAATGCAATGTTATTAGTGTGACAGATCGTTAGTATCCGGATTACATAAATAAGTAAAAAACAAAAGCAAAACAAAAAGCACCTTATATATTGAGAAAACAAACAGCCAGTGTGCCCACCTTTAATTTTAGCACTCTGGAGGCAGAGACAGGAATATCTCTGTGAATTAGAACAGTGGTTCTCAACCTATGTGTCACAATCTCTTTGGGGTTACAATCAGATATTCAGCATATCAGATATTTATGTTAAAATTCATAAAGTAGCAAAATCATAGTTATGAAGCAGCAATGAAATAATTTTATTTTGTGGGTCACCACAACACAAGGAACTGTATTAAAGGGTCACGGCATAAGGGAGAGTGAGAACCACTGAGTTAGAAGCTAGCCTTGTCTACATAATGAGTTTCAGGCCAGCCAGGGCTACATAGTGAGGCACTGTCAAAAAATACAAAAAGAAAGAAAATGAAAGAAAAATTAAAAACCACCAAAAGAAGGGAAAAACACTCAATTGAAAAATACAGCATGTAACTAAAATGAGAGTTCTCAAAAAGTGAAATATAAATTCCTCAGAAACATTTTTTAAATGTCCAACATTCTTAGCCATTAGGGAAATGAATTTTAAAACTGCTTTGGCTAAGATTTAAAGAAAGGACAACAAATCTGGCATGGATTCAAAGAAAGGGAAATACTTTTTCATTGCTGGTGAGAGTACAAACTGATGTAGACAGTATGAAAATTTATGTGGAGGTTCCTAAAAAGCTAGAAATAGACCTACCACATGATCCAGATATATTACTCTTGGGAATATACCCAAAGGACCCCATTTTATACTACAAAGATGCCTGCTATTCATTCATATTCATTGCTGTTCTATTCACAATAGCTAGGAAGTGGAAATGGCCTAGATGTCTATCAACTGATGAATAGACAAAGAAAATGTAGTACACAATGGAATATTACTCAATCACTAAGAAAAACAAAATTAGCCAGGTGTGGTGGAACACACCTTTAATCTAAGCACTTGGGAAGTAGAGGCAGACAGATACTTGTGAGTTCAAGGCCAGCCTGGTCTATATAATGAATTCCAGGACATCAAGGGATATGTAGAGAGACTCTGTTTAAAAAAGAAAAGAAAAACAAACTTATGAAAATTTCAGATATATCAATGGAGCTGGAAATAATCATTCTGAGTTGGATAACCTAGACCCAGCATAACAAACATCATTTTTTCAAATTTGTAG